GAACTTGAAAGATTTGCCGTGTTTTTTTTTTTGCCCGTACATTATCTAACATATAACCCTCAAAATTTGTGTGTGCCGATATAAAGTTAAATGTATGTTTGTGTGTGTGCGTGTTCCACCCATTCTGCTTCCATTCTTGCAACAAGACAGTGATGCAAAATTGCATCAGGTCAATGCCTGCTCGATTATCGTGTTTCTTCTTTAATCTGCTTTGCAAGCTGTTGAATAAATTACCCTGGACAATATGAGTGAAAAAATTACCTCGATCGAAAAGATATGCAACATAATGGGAAAACTCGTGTCTTCATGTGAAAATACAGGCCTCTATTAAAAGACAAAGGGGATATATTCTTCTCCTATATGCTATATATCTTCAGGACGTTGGCGATCATGGCACTCCACAATTTCCTGTCCTTTGTGTGTGTGTGTGTGAGTGTGTGCGTGCGTGTGAGTGTGTGTATGTGTAAATATCAAGTAAAACTGTGCCATAAAAAAACGTTCTTTTCATTTATATTTACCAGCATGTGTTTTATGTCTATTTTGTAACTTACTATTTTTATCTGTAGTGTGACTCCAAAGAAAATGAACTCTAGAAGTAGCATCATCTGAAATTTCTGCTACCCTTTTGCCTGGAAGACGTACAACATCTTCAAACTTCCATTGGATTTGAACTACAATGAAACCCCCATTTTCAGCATCAAAAGATGAACCAACTTGGCTAAGCTATCGGAGGAGACAAACTTCATTGACTGGGATGAAAGTAACATGAACAGAAGCGACCATTTGAGGCCCTGGACAAAACACTCAAAGACATGAAACAGAATTCACAAATCATTGGAGATTTCACTGGGATACTCTGTGGTGATTTTAGACAAACATTAACAGTCATTACAAGAGGAACATCAGCTGATGAAATTAGCGCTTGCCTGAAAAATTCTTGCATTTAGAGCCATGTTCAAAGGTTCAGCCTGAAAACAAACATGAGTTAGAATCACAGGTGAGTTTGAAGCAGGAAGATTTGCTGCATGGCCGTTACAAATTGTCAATGGAACCATCAAAATAGAATCAAAATGGAGATATCCCACTCCCAAATGGTTGTGGAGTTTCCCTCTCAAGTACCCAAGACTTGATTAACCATGTTTACCCAAACATTAAACACCCTTTCATAGATTCAAACTGGCTTGTGAGAGGGCCATATTAGATCCCAAGAATCAACTGGAAAATTCTCCAAGAAATTCGAAAAGAAAGCATGAAGTACGTTTCGATTGACACTGTGGTTGAAAAAGAGCAGGCTGTGAATTATCCAATAAAGTTCTTGAACTCATTGATTCCTCCTTGAATGCATTCACACAAGCTGAAAGAAAATGCGCCAGTTATGCTATTAAGAAATCTGGATCCTCCAAAGCTTTGTAATGGAACAAGGTTGTCAAGAAGATGCTTCTTGGAAGCAGAGGTCCTTGGTGGTTCAGAAAAGGAGGAAAGGTTTTAATTCCAAGAATCCCCTGAATTCCTACAGAAGTTCTTTTTGACTTCAAAAGACTTCAGTTCCCAGAGTGAGCTATGCAATGTCAATCAATACGTCTCAAGAACAATCATTGAAAGTAATGGACTTAATCTGACGGAACCCTGCTTTTCTCACGGCCAGTTCCATGTTGGTTGTTCAAGGGCTAGGAATGGAAATAAGCTATTTGTACTGACCACAAATGTGAAAACCCGAAATATTTTTTTATCATGCATCTTTGAAATAAGTTCCAAATAGATAAATTTGTGACGTCGTCCCCTGGTCGCAGCGCCAACTGTGACGTTCTATCCTGATCTACCACGGCACCAGTTGTGACGTCCCCAAACAGCACCAATTGTGACGTCCTCGCCGCGGCGCCAGCTGTTCGCTCCTCGCTTCTCCGTTCGGGTGTCGCTGCTCCAAACGTGACGTCCGCCTGTCGCGTCAGTCGTGTTGTCTCGTCCTGTGACGACCAACTGGCTTGGTATCGGTCGCGGCACCCAAATGTGACGTTCTAACCTTTTGGTGATTCGGGTGGGAATCTGGTTAGATTTGATATCAGCCTCGTCGTTCCCAACTCGCTTCCAACGCCTGCTTACCAAGGTAACTGCACTGATCTCCAGTCTGCCTATCCACGTTGTGAATTGATCTTAGGCAGACGAGATCAATCAGTAGTCGGGGCCGTAATGCAAACTGAGTTCAACGGGGGTGATACCACACAAATATGCATAAAAGAAAATAAAATGAAAACTCAAAAGTTCAAAGTATCAAAGAAAAAGGTAACAAACTTTATGTCTAGTTGTTCGATACATAGGACTGCATCTATCTCCCGACCCGTTCTGTGGATTGTGACACGTCGTTTTCCGTTAGGCAAGTTTTAACGCTTCAAGTTGTTTGCTCTCTAAGAAATTGGTGTTTCGGTGTGTCTTTGGACGAAAGTAGAAAAAAACTTATTTCGGTGGTCTGGATCTAAGTCGCTCTTCAAAATAATTGTTCTTGGGTTGAAGAGGAGTCCGGAATTTGCGTGAATCTTGGTCAGCTGAACTCACTGGAACTGCTGGAACTCAACTCTGGAAACTCGAGCCCGAACTGATTTCTGCTCGTAGGGGCTTCGCTTTTATGGACGCCGACCAAAACCGGGGTGGGTCTGTCGGCGTCGGGGGTTCCTCGATAATTCTAAATACATTTTATTTCTGGTTAGGGATTTTCCACTCTTTTCCATTTTTGGGAACCTTTTCTCACTCCCACCTTCTCACCATACTTAAGAGGGCGTGAACTGCCCTCCCCACTTCTTCGTAGAAGCTTCTCATACCTATACTCTGGATGAGGCGTCGACAGCCTCCTTCGTGCGTCACGTGATCACCACTTGACCAATGATGTCTTAGTCGGCGTGGACGAATCCGCGGCTTTGTTTCAGGAAGAAAAAAAATATCTTGCTTAACTAAAAAAAAATTATCTCTTCTCTTTCCCTTTTCTTCCTCTTAATCGCCGTTATCATTTCCCTAGCCGCAAACGGGACAATATAACTCTTGTTCTACACGTGGTTTTCGCCAGGTATTTTTATCGCCAATTATCAGAATGGGTGGTCTTCTTAACACGGCCTCAAAAAAAGAAACATCTCCAAAGTTTCAGTCAGTCTGTCGCTTCGAAGAAAGAAGAAAAAACACTTCTGGGTCCCCATTCATTTTCTTTCGGTACATATTTCTGATAACATAATTTTATTATCGTAGGCCAAAGATGTTCTACGGCAAGAAAATCGGTCAGTGTAGTTACTTCGATGTGTCGCGATTAATTTTTCCATATCTACCCAAAGCCCTTTAGTACACCTGTGTTTTGTCAATTATCAAAATTAACGTTTTCAATTGGACCTTTTTTTGGTGAACATTTCTTGATAACATAATTTTATTATCGCAGGCATAAAGATGTTCTGCGACAAGAAAATCGGTCAGTGTGGTTACTTCGTGTGTGTCGCGATTAATTTTTCCATATCTATCCCAAAGTCCCTGTTTTTCGTCACTTATCGAAATAACATTTTCACTTGAATTTTCTTTGGCCAGTCGACCAGCAGTTTGTTTCCGTACTCCTAGATAACACAGCCGTTATCAAAACACATCTGATTCTTTCTTTCTTTCCCTTTCTTTTTACTCAGAATTTCCCTGTCATTGTAATGACACCCTTTCGCCATTTCTTACTTATCAATATATTCATTGTCTCTTAGCCGTGTGTGTGTATGCTTATCACCCACGATTCGTCTCGCCTTTCTTTCTGCCTTCTTTTCTTTCTTTTCCTTTTCTGCCTCGTAAATGGTGCCACAAATTATATCATTGTTGTGGTGAACGCTGGTCATTGTTTGAAAAATATTAAGTTTAATAAAATTTAATATGTAATCAAAGCTTGAAGTGTCGTAGTTGAGCTTTTGGCACAATCAAGCGTCCCCCGCGGGAGCTAGATTAAATGCCGCCCGATAGGGAGGCTTTTAAGCTAGTTATAAATAAAGCAACATTTTTTTTTAAATCATTTCACTCCCGGAAAGGCAATAGTGTCACTAAATCGCAGGAGGTTATTTAGTGTGAAAGAATAATAAAAAAAAAAGATTATTAATTAGAGAACAACAGAAGATAATTTACGGGGACTGTTGATAACGACTGACATTCCATAAATATTTTTGAAGAGAGTTCAACAAATGAAAAGTGTGAGAAAAGTTAGAATAGAACTTACGGCTACATCAAGTCATTTCGACTGTAAAATGATGAAATATTGTCTCCATTCTAATAGTGCGCTTAAATTCATAAAGCCTAAGTGCCACAATGAGCATCAGAACATACATTTTTATAGCAAACACGCATTTTAAATGACAACAAAACACATGAAAATACGTTCTTTTGATAGCATTATTGTAGATGTGCGGCTGGTGTAACGTATACTTGAGACGAAAATTGGAATCAGTAATTGTAGTTCAAGTCTCGATCGTAGATGGTGGGTTCACTTCAATTCAAAGCACTTTGGAAAGGCAAATATCCCAATTATGTGTAAATATATGTACAAAATGGGTGGGGGGGGTACCCTTAGAAGGTCAACGAGTTTAGGAGAAACACAACTTTGTTTTAATCTTCACTTTCAAAATAAATCCCATTGCATCTAATGTCTTTCGAATTAATATGTCTCATATATATATATATACTATGTCTCATATATATATATATATATATATATATATATATATATATATATATATATATGTATGTATGTATGTATGTATATATATATATATATATATATATATATATATATATAAGAAGCATGCATGGTTAGAAGGTTGTTTCTCAGCATATATATTTATCACATTAAAATTTATTAGAATTTAATATATATATTTATCTAATTAATATTTATCAAAATTAAAAATATATTAATTTAATTAAAATTTATCAACATTTAAAATATATATTTATCTAATTCAAATTTATCAAAATTTAAAATATGTATTTATCTAATTAATATTATCAACCTTTAAAATATATTCTTATCTAATTAAAATTTATCAAAATTTAAAATATATATTTCTCTAATTAAAATTTATCAACATTTAAAATATGTATTTATCTAATTAATATTATCAACATTTAAAATATGTACCCATCTAATTAATATTATCAACATTTAAAATACATACTTATCTAATAAAAATTTATCAAAATTTAAAATATATATTTATCTAATTAAAATAAAATCGTTTGATAAAGTACGTCACAAAAAACTGTTGAAATTTCTAGGTCACCTTGACATATTTGGGGTGGATATAAAAATAATACAGAACCTATACTGGCACTAAACCACCTGCATACCGATAGAAAATGAATTCAGTAAATATACAAAAATAGAAAGGGACGTAAGACATAAGTGTCTTTTCACCAGACTTATTCAACCTTTACAGTGAGGTGATTCCGATAGAAGGAGCAGTCCTAGAAGAATTCATTATTAGCGGCGACAATCTTAACAGCATAAGTTATGCAGTTGACATAGTGTTTATTGCAGACATAGAAATGAACACTACAAAAAATCCTACAGAATGTATTGTAGAAAAGTAACAAGAAAGGACTAAACATCAATTGCAAGAAGGCATAATTTATGATTGTCATCAAAAGGGAGAGTCCAACATACACATTAAAAATAGGAAATACCAATATCAAGCAAGTACAACAATTTAAATGTCTGGGAAATAGACGAAAAATTTGATAGAGAAATCAGAAAGCGGTGATATCCGGATATTGTTCCTGGCCCTAATTCATCCAGTAGATGCAGGACATCGTCAATAAAGCTCCCAGGAAGACGATTAGACACATCGACGAACACTTGTGGCATGTAGGTCCCAGTCAGATAAGATCGTGACGATAATTTATTATAATTCATAACATATACGTACTGCTCTTAATAACAAGCTTACAGAGTGCATTCCTCTGCAATACACGGGCTGAATCCTTCCTGGTAGCACAGTGTAAACTGCTATAAGTTACAAATTCCGCTTGCATTTGGTGTATATGAAGAAAACGTTGGACAGTGCTATGTGACTACAGAACAAATTCAACCCCTTCTGCTTCCATTCTTGCAACAAAACAGTGATGCAAAATTGCATCATGTCAATGCCTGCTCGCTTATACTGTTTCTTCTTTAATCTGCTTTGCACGATGTTGAATAAATTACTCTGGACAATATGAATGAAAAAAATCGCCTCGATCGAAAAGATATGCAACATGCAGGAGTATCTTCATGTGAAAATACAGGCCTCTATTAAAAGATAAAGAGGATATATTCTTCTCCTATATGCCATATATCTTCAGGACGTTGGCAATCATGGCACTCCACAGTTTCCTGTCCTTTTTAGCTCTTCACAGGATATGGTTATGCGTTTTCATCTGTCCCTCTTGCATTCGATCTCAATTACTAAAGAGAAAAGTTATTCAATAAAATCGCCATCGGCTTCAGCCACGACCCCCAGACAACTTTGTACTCTCCTGCAACACTTCTGGACAGTCTCTTTGTTTCATTTAGTGAATGCTGCCATAATCCTTGCCTTCAGTTCATCTTTGGTGTTATGTTGGGCTCTCGCTAAACTGCGCCCACACAACCAAGGGGCTTGCAGTCTGGGAAGTTATACGGGTGTATGTAAGATGCGATGTGGTCGCAGAAATTCTCCTGCTTGTGTAACATGGTGCAGAGTACTATTGCAAGACATAGGGTCTTCCAGCAGCTAACATCTAGTACCATGTCACCACTAGCTCCTCAAAGCATTTGATGTAAACCTCCGTGTTGAGTCTGAGGCCCTCACCAACAAATTTGGGAATTCTTAGCTCTTCAGATCGATCGGAGTGAGTTTTCCAAGCTGCAGTCCATTCGTAATCGCCAACAGACTCAACACCTCTTCCCGGATCTTTTGTAATGTCCTCAAGTTGACACCCAAACACTCTGAAGTATTCGTATTGGAGCTTCCGGCGCGATATATATATATATATATATATATATATATATATATATATATATATATATATAATATTATAAATTAACTGATTTAAAAATATGGTTTCATCGCTACACAGGAATTTCCATATTTATGCTCTTTAAATTTACATTGAGCACTGTTTTGTAAAAATAAAAATATCAATAAGAATACCGGGATACATATCTTACTGTTCTTCCTTTTTGTACTATATATATATATATATATATATATATATATATATATATATATATATATATGAAACTTGTATAAAAGAGGATTGATGCGCATATACACAATTATATATATATATATATATATATATATATATATATATATATTTTGTGCACAAACCCTCTTTTATACAAGTTTCATTAAGGACGAATGACTAAAAAGGTACGGCTATTGAGCTTTTTATTCAATTTTTCTTGTGTTCGTATAAGTGCTTTCTTTTCTGGATATAAAATGTGTAATAACTGTCTCAAAGTTTTGTATATACGACGTCTTTTGGCTCTTCTATTTGCCATTATCTAGGATGTTTTTTTTTAAATTTTTCTTTTTAACTGAATGTGTAAATAATTTTCTAATTATATGTTTCTAAAATGATAAGAATGTTTTTGTTTTATTTTCCAAACACGGTTGGCATATTGTGGTCGTGTTCATAGTTACTGAGTATTGGCTCTTTCTTTTTTTTTATTATTTTACTGCTTCCATTAATTTTAGTCTGTTTTTACCCGTGGATGAGTCTATTATTATTGCATTTTCTACAAGTATATTGCGGATGGAGATTGATAGGTTTCCCTGTCTGTTTAAATGAGTCCTAATTATCTATGGCCGGAGAGGTGTAACGTTAATCTTCTTGAAAGGCGTATATATATATAGATAATTTTTGGTGGGGTAATGGATATTTATTTATCAATCCAACATATTGTTATCAATTTAAATGTTATTTCCGGTGGCTACACATATTTATTTACTAAGCAGTATATTTATTTTAGTCTACCACCTGAATATTCAAGAAATCTTATTAAAGAAAAATATCTTGCCGGAGAGAGCATTTATCTTTCTTTTCTTTATATATATATATATATATATATATATATATATATATATATATATATATATATATATGAATGGCAATGCTCGTTTTGTAAAACATCAGTTAGCTCAAATTGTAATATAACAAATTGATATCCGAGGAAAAATTGGAAATAAAAAAAAGAAAGAACCAAGGAAATAACACTGAACGAATCCTCTCCAGTGCTTAAACTCCAAGTTCAAAGAAAAAAAAAAGTAAAACGAGTAAAAGACATAAAGTTGCTCAATACACTAAATAGAGCAAAAACTAAAATAATCCTAAGGAGCCTGGCAAACCTACCTAGGTTTCATCTAAACGGATCTTCAGGGTAAAACTGGCTAAAAAGGCAAATAATGGAACAATATTGATATAAATAATAAATATTCTTCAATTATTTGCCTTTTTAGCCAGTTTTACGCTGAAGATCCGTTTAGATGAAACCTAGGTAGGACTAAGAGGAACTAGGATTATTTATATATATATATATATATATATATATATATATATATATATATATATATATATATATATATATATGTGTGTGTGTGTGTGTGTGGTAAAGATAATAAATTCGCTGGTAATCCAAGTGGATCCTAGTAATATAAACTATTAAAACTGATTCATAAAAAGGACTCAATGCATTTGTTACTACAAAGCAAAAATTAATAAACAATAAAATCCAAAATCACCTTATATGGGGAATAAGCTTATTTCAACCGACGAATAATAAAATTCGACTGTCTTAATCAACCCCGGTCTAGAGTGACTAAAATTGATGAATTATATTTTCGTCTGTCTAACTAAACTTATTCCCCATATGAGGTGATTTGGGATTTTATTATGAATTAATATATATATATATATATATATATATATATATATATATATATATATACCGGTATGTAAACCTGTATGTACACCTGTATGTACGTATGATAGTGCCACACGAAACAACCACAGAAGTATTTTTTCCCCACCCGCCGCCAAACATAGTCAAACAAGCATAAGTTTTAAAAAATAAACCAGTTTGTCTGATGACAGCAAGAGCGTGAAACCTAGGGTCACAAACTCATAGCTATAATATATATATATATATATATATATATATATATATATATATACACCATTTTAAATTCAACCGACTAGGCCTGTCTGCTTAATTTTTTCTTATATTTTTCTAATTTCCAAATAAGATGTATATTGGAACAGAAATTATGAATATGTCGTCCAAAATTCATGTTATTTTCCTGTTTTGTTAAAAAATTAACAGTTTATTCATAATTTCGTCTCGACATACTACAAATTAATCCGACACTGATGAAATATAATAAACAATTTCACTAAACATGCCTAATAAGTTGAACTTAGCCAAACTTGTTTGGATAAATTTTCGCAGATGGATTTAACAAAGCTTGTTTAGATAAATTCTTGCTTCTTAGATAGACATTGTATGTGAGATGTGTGTACACACACATACACCCATACACAAACACCCTCACACAAACACCCTAACATATACACCCACACACAAACACCCTCAAACAAATACCCACACACAACACCCTCAAACAAATACCCACACAGATACAACCACACATAAACACCCTCACACACAAATGCATATTTCAAATATGATATATCCACTTTCATAATGTGAGAAATAATAAAAATATCGGATTAAAAATAAATACTTTAGAAATCTATCTATCTATCTATGTATCTATCTTAGTCTGTTCATATCTCTCACACTCCCTATCTATCTATCTCAGTCTGTTCATATCTCCCTCTCTCTCTATCTATCTCAGTCTGTTCATATCTATCTCAGTTTGTTCATATCTCTCCTTACTTACTTATCTATCTATCTATCTATCTATCTATCTATCTATCTATCTATCTATCTATCTATCTATCTATCTATCTGCGTATATGAATAAAGATAAAGGAAAATTATTCTTTACTAAAGCGTTTCGTCCTGTTCTGTTAAAGTAAAATAATTTCTTTTATAAGTGTTACATTTGTCGTTCAATATATTTATCATGTTGTTCTATAATTTCCATAATCATCCAGGAATTTTTATCTTTCTCACCAAAGAATTACTTGACTTGCTTATGAAACATTTTAAAATTAGTTGTTTAAAATCCTCACCGTTTAACAGTGATTTATATATATATACATACATGCATACATACATACACACACACACACACACATATATATATATATATATATATATATATATGAGTTTGTCTGACGATCGGAAAAGCGTGAAACCCAGCGTCACAAACTCACATCAATCCAACCAAATATGTTAGCTCTATCTCTGATATTGGGCGGTTTCTAATAAGTACCGCGCATATAATATATAAATAATAATATATATAACATATTACACACACACACACATATATATATATATATATATATATTTATTTATATTTATATACACACACTTTTCACACACTTTACACACACACACACACACACATATATATATATATTTATTTATATTTATATACACACACTTTTCACACACTTTACACACACACACACACACACACACATATATATATTATACACACGCACATAAACACACACACATATATACATATACAGAGATGGAGAGAAAGAGAAAGGTAGATAGGCAGTTAGAGATATTGACAAATAAATAATGATAGAAAAATTTTGATTAGTGATATTTCATTTGCATTACTTACACTGAAAACATTATCATTTCTAAATTCTCTGAATTCTTTAGTGAATGGCGGTACTATTTATTATGAATATGAACCTACATCCTAACTTTATAAAAATATTTGAAAATGCTTTAATTTATATGAATTAGGAAAAATGTAATTTATCTTTATTAAAACAAGGTTCTTACATCAGCTAAAATTTAGTTTCGTATAAATACTTTCCACGAAAAATGCAAACATAATTACCTCCCTTTGAACGCATTTCGCATGCTTAATTTGGAACGCCAATCGTAAAATACTTAAAAAAATCAAGCTACATTTAATATATATCCTGGGTAAATTAATAATCAATCGATCATTTGACAATATGAATTAAATTTTAAGCATTTTCTTTAAAAATCATACAAAAGCTGCGATCGTTGCATTTTAGCAGCAATAAACCATCGATCTTAATTCATCTTAGAAAAGGAAAATTGAATATTGTCAGATTATTTATATTTCCGTCAGTTCTGTAAAATTTTAACGAGTTTTTTCTGTTATCTTTTAAGAAATAAAACTATTATGTAATTTCAATACAGACACGCAAGTAGTGAAATATGCGATTACACACATATATATTTATGCATATCAGCATATATTTCAATATATATATATATATATATATATCTTACATATGTATTTTTATATATTTAAATATATATATTTTACATATTCAGTTTTATACAGGGTGCGGCTGAATTATCTATTCAAACACCACCCAGAAAAACCTTCCACACAATTGTAAGACATTAGATAAATGAAAACACCATTGCCACTAATGTCTTACTATTATGTGGGTGGTATACACACACACACACACACACACACAAAAAACACACACACACACACATATATATATATATATATATATATATATATATATATATAACTTTAAGGAAAACGATCATATTTTTTATTATTAAAATAGATACAAATGTATCTCGCTTAAGAAAAAAGATTTTAGGCACATTTCGGCCGACACTTCCTCAGAAATAGAATCACCGGCAATATAAAACAGAGATGCTGATAAGAAAAATTATTATCAACAACTGGTATGAAAAAATAATTTACCCAATAGTCATATAAGGGGTGAAAAAAAAATTTTTTATATATATATATATATATATATATATATATATATATATATATATATATATATATATATATATATCAGTGGTTTTCAACTTTTTTGCTGGAGCGTAACCACAAGGAAACCTTCCAGTGGCTCGAGGAACCACTGCAATAAAATTACTGTCAATCATAATACTTGTGTAACTTCTTGCGGAACCTCTGGGTTTTACTGGCGGAACATAGGTTCGCCGGACCCTGCTTGAAAACAACTGATATATATATATATATATATATATATATATATATATATATATATAATATATATATTAAGAAAGAACAGTAAGATATATAATCCGGTGTTCTTATTGAGTTTTACAAAACAGTGCTCTATGTAAATTTACAGAGCATAAATATTATAAATTAATTGATTTAAAATATGGTTTCTTCGCCACACAGGAATTATCATGTTCCAAAAACCTAAGCTAAAAACTTCAAATTTAATTGTATAATTAAATTAAAAGCATTAATTCTGTTTCATCTTCAAGCGAATTTTGGAATAACTTATTTTTAAATTTACTGAGTTTTAAACGCACATACAATTCGTATTTTTTTTTCCAAGGATACAGAGAAATCCAATCACTTAGACAGGGGCCGTAGCGTGTTCATTTTTATTATTGTATCAATTATGAGTTACGTTTCAAAAAGAGGTTATGTTTAGGTAAGGTAGGGGTGCATTTTTCAACGAATTTTGACATCCGTTCAACGCATGTCATCTGTTTTTTTTTTTAATCAACGAAAAAAGTTTTTCGGCATTTTTTCCGTTAAATTCGTACTTGTGTTAATAAAGATTATTTCTAAAAGGGGTGTTTGGGTCAGAATACGTTATATTGAACTACAATTTTAAAATATTATTTTTACTTTTAATTACTAATAAACTATATAGACTAAATAGAATTACTTAAATTATTTAAAAATTATTATTACATATCAAATATAAGTATGTATATTACCAGTTCCCATTTTTATTTTTTTTTTTTATTTTATTATATTTAAATATTATTTAAGGAAAATCTTTGTCGGCAAAGAATAGCTATTTTATTTCTTTGATTCAGTAAATTTTTAATTTTTTATAAACTTAGTAATATATAGTTTCTCATGTATTCACAAACGACATGGTTCATTTAATAACCTACATATTCTTGAGGAAACCAGTATGTAGACATAGACATCTCTCTCTACCATTTTTGCTTTAACAGTTCTGTATAAAGTTTGTTTTGCATATATTTGAACAACAAATATCAGTTTCATCAAACCTAAACGTTTTGTGTGTATTTGTGTGATTAAAATGACAAATATAAAATTTGTTATCTCCACGTGTCTGTGTGTGAGCTTAAACATTACGCAAAAAATGATATTTGAATAAAAATCTGTTTTATAGGTATATATCCGAATGCACACTTGAAAGGAATGGGACACGAGGGTAGATATAAAGTTGGAATCGGACAGGGCATTAAAAACAAAAGTATGTTTTAAACATTTGAGTATATTTGTATTTTTAAAATATAATTTTTTAAACTTCAAAATTTACTGAACAAAGTGATACACAAAAATGGGTAACTGCATCTCTCTCTCCATCTCTATCTCGCTCTCTCTGTCTGTTTGTTTCTCTCTCTTTCTCTCTCTCTCTCTCACACACTATATTTCATATATTATATATCCCAAAAATCTAACACTAAGGACAAGTGTTGTTTAAATTTTAATTTGTGCTCTTGTATGTATGCTTCTGAGTCTGTTTATGCATCCCTATCTATCTATCTATCTATCTATCTATCTATCTATTTACCGGTATATGTATATGCATGGTTGCTGCATAATACCCCTGAATACACCGACTAGGCGTTGTCCAAGTCTGATTATGGGCCCTGAGCAGTGTTTGTAACCCTCGCAATCAAATCACCACAATTTAAATGTTACAATTTAAACTAAACACATTTAAAGGGTGAAAACATTTTGAGGATTTTGACGTTATTCTGAGGCCTTTTTTTTTAGTCCAAATCCATGAATTCGTTTCGCTCATGCTAAGTCTCAATAAAGCACTATATGAATCCACTATTTTTTTATCCATAATATTGAATGTGATAAAATTTTTCAAGTTTTCAATAAAAAAAAAAATCTCAATTTGATGTTAAAATTAGTCGCAAAACATTGTTGATTTATTTAAGATATAATGATCTATTATGACATTGTTTTTATTTTTAAATTTTTCTATTTGAATTGTTCCCCTACATTGCATATCATCGATTATTGTACATAATTAGGTTACAATGAAATATATTTTGTATTTTATATAAATCTTACCTTATGGAAATTGATATGCAGTAGAATGGGGTCCCGCATCATAGATTCACGTTGGCGTATAATAAATTCGTGGGTGGGTGGTACGAGACCCTTCCACTGGCCTTGTATATATGCAATTTAAATACATCCAACGAAACTAAAAATTACTAAAAACTAGTGATAATTATATTTTTGTCTTATCAAATCAGTGAGTACCTCACTTAGTAAACAAATTTTGAATATTTTTGCGAAACCTATTATTTGCATTAATAATATATTCTTCTTAGCGTAAAACTAAAATGAAATGAAATTAGTTAAGACAACGTTTGGTGAAAGTATATTTGTTACTTTACTTATGAATTTAGTAATAATACTTATGTATGTAATATTGTTAATTAACAATTAATCGTATTCTATCAATGTTTGAGTAAAATCTAATAGTCATCTGTTTACCATATAAAAGCCCACAAGAAAATAAACTCTTTTAAAAACATTTTCATGTTCTTTTAGTTATGAAAGTTAATGTCATCATAAATATATAAAAATGCGTCATAAAGAATGTGATCAAGCGAAATGAATTAATCTTTTCCTCATACACATTATTAGAAGGAATTGATTCGTATAAAACTATCACTAAATCATGTCACTGATTAACAAATAAAATTAAAGGCTTGAAGTATAACACAAACAATAATCCTGATATAAAAATAAATATCTGTCTATATCCCTGAGATGAGGCATTATGATTACTTGCATTATTTACATTATTCGGACTGTTATCCCCATCTTCATTGCCATATTCCCAACGTTTCGGCTGCTGTTCGCTCCGGCCTTCTTTACTTAAGGTATCATCACATATGCTAGGCCACAAAAATCTCCTGAGCCGACCAAGCATAGAAATGAATGCAATGTGGGAACCAGTAATACAGGGTGCTAGAGAAAACCAAATAATAACAAAAAAAAAATTGCAATATAAGCTCTGGTAAAATAAATAAATCATAATAATAACAGAAAAAAATGCAGTATGAACACTGATAAAAAATGATGCTGAGACATTAGTTTTATGAGTACCAAAAATTCATACACAGATGAGGGCAAATGGCCCAGCGGATAAAGATGTTGGTTAGATCCAGTGACAAGACCCAAAGTGTTGTGAGTTCAATACCAGGTCACAGCAGTGGTGAACCAAGCACCTGGAAAGTTGAATTAAAGGGAAATAACTGAGACATCTGGAAGAGGCATGGCACGGGGAAATAGAACAATCTGGTTCGGTTCGATATTCGAATCACCTGAAGAAGGTTGTTGTTAAGAAAATGAGGAGAACAGTCCGAATACTGTAAATAATTCCAGTAACAATAAATAAGTAATAAACTCTAACTGCATTCATTTATTCTGCTGTAACCAAAGTTATTCTATTGTGGCACCATTTACGAGGCAGAGAAAGGAAGAGAAAGAAAAGAAGGCAGAAAGAAATGCGAGACGATTCATAGGTGATAAGCAGACACACACACGGCTAAGAGACAATGAAAATATTGATAAGTAACAAATGAAAAGGTGTCATTACAATGACAGAGAATTTCTGAGTAAAAAAAAAAGAAAAAAGAAGGAACCAGATGTGTTTTGATAACGGCTGTGTTATCTAGACCACTGGCCAGGGAAAAATTCAAGTGAAAATGCTATTTCGATAAGTGACGAGAAACAGGCCACTAAAAAGGACTTTGGACACATATGAAAAATTAAATCCCACGCAAGCAGTGCGCTGACCGAATTCTTTTCGACGAAACAACTTTGGCCGGCGATAATAAAATTATGGGGAACCAGAAGTGTTTTTCTTTCTTCCTTGGAGGCGACAGACTGACTGAAAACTTTGGGGATAATTCTTTTTTGAAGCCATGTTAAGAATACCACCCATCTTGATAAATTAGCGATAAAATACCTGACAAACACCACGTGTAAAACAAGAGTTGCCATATTGTCCGTGGCTAGAGAAATGATAACGGCGATTGAAAGGAAGAAAAAGGAAAGAGAAGAGATAATATTTTTTTTTTTAGTTAAGCAAGATATTTTTTTTCCCGAAACAAAGTCGCGGATTGTTCACGCCCGACTAAGACATCATTGGTCTGGTGGTGATCACGTGACGCACGAAGGAGGAGGAAAGATACCCGACCAAGACCTCATTGGCCGAGAGTGATCACGTGACGCACGAAGAAGGCTGTCGACGCCCCATCCAGAGTATAAGTATGAGAAGCTGCTACGAAGAAGTGGGGAGGGCAGTTCACGCCCCTCAGAGGTATGGTGAGAAAGTGGGAGTGAGGAAGGGTCCCCCCCCAAATGGAAAAAGAGTGGAAAATCCTAACCAGAAATAAAAAGAGGTGGATATGTATTTAGAATTATCGAGGAACCCCCCGACGCCAACAGAACCACCCCGGTTTTGGTCGGCGTCAATAAAAGCGGGGCCCTAACAGGCAGAAATCAGTTCGGGCTCGAGTTTCCAGAGTTGAGTTCCCAGAGTCAGTCTCCAGTTGAAACCGCCTCGCAGATAGCTGACCAAGATTCACGCAAAATTCCGGACTCCTCTTCAACCCAAAAACAATTATTTTGAAGAGCGACTTAGAACCAGACCACCGAAATAAGTTTTTTCGACTTTCGTCCAAAGACACATCGAAACACCAATTTCTTAGAGAGCAAACAACTTGAAGCGTTAAAACTTGCCTAGCGGAAACCACGTGTCACAATCCACAGAACGGGTCGGGAGATAGATGCAGTCCTATGTATCGAACAACTAGACATAAAGTTTGTTACCTTTTTCTTTGATACTTTGAACTTTTTGAGTTTTCATTTTATTTTCTTTTATGCATATTTGTGTAGTATCACTTCCGTTGAACTCAATTTGCATTACGGCCCCAACCACTATTTGATCTCGTCTGTCTAAGATCAATTCACAACGTGGGTAGGCAGACTGGAGATCAATGCAGTTACCTTGGTAACCAGGCGTTGGAAGCGAGTTGGGAACGACGAGGCTGATATCAAATCTAACCAGATTCCCACCCGAATCACCAAAAGGTTAGAACGTCACATTTGGGTGCCGCGACCGATACCAAGCCAGTTGGATCGTCACAGGACGAGACAACACGACTGACGCGACAGGCGGACGTCACGTTTGGAGCAGCGACACCCGGACTGGGCAGCGAGGACGTCACAATTGGTGCTGTTTGGGGACGTCACAACTGGCGCCGTGGTAGATCAGGATAGAACATCACAGTTGGCGCTGCGACCGGGGGACGACGTCACACTACTTCGAAATAAGAGAGAAAAGTTCATTAGAAAAAAAAAAAGATTCGTCGATATATATCACTTAACGATTGTAATATTACATATTATTTATTATAAAAAATCAAAAAAAAATCGCGTAATCATTATTAAAAATAATGGATCGCAATATAGAAGGAATATGTATCTCATATAAATACAATTATATACTGCTAAAATTCTGTAACTTAGTCATTCCTAAGTTTAAAATGCATTTTAAAAAAGTACGATCATTTTTGAAGTATTAATATTTATTTTAATTTCAAGCTAATATTTAATATTCCCAATCATAAAACTATTTTGCTCTTATTCAAACCGAATTTAGAATGACAAATTGATTTCTCTTTATCAGTAAATCATTAAGCTCGTCTATATTGATGGATCTTTCAAGACAAAATAATTCGCTTCTTTAAAAATATCTTTGAGAAAAGTTTTTCTGAAACTTTATTAAGTAATTGAACGCTTAATTGATCTGAATTGAAACAAACACTACTTTTAGATTAAAATATAGCAGAAAATCAGGATTTGAACAGTTTGTTTGAGAGTTTGTTTTTATAACGTGTTGAGTGATTTATTGAAAGTTTGATTTTTGAGAAATTTTAGTAGGGGTGCAAAACTGACAGAATACAATGTAAACGCGTTTATACACATCCATATAGATATAAATTTAATTAGCCAGTAATCTTAAAAATTATGAATATGTTTTATTGAATTGTATGTATTTTGGCTTAATAGCCTTGTTTACAATGACGCTTGTTGAGAAAAAAGTGAATTACCAATCAATTTTAAATTTATTGTAGGTACTTCTCTTCTTTTCTGATAAAGTCGTGTCTGGACGTGCGTATTTACAAAATTCGACACAATTATACACACACACACAAAAATAATACAAAATTATTTTTGAAATTCTGGAGTTTGTTGAATTGTTAATATATGATATGTAAATACACTTTTACTTTCACTGTACGCGACAGAATTTTAAAAATTTTAAAGTCTATGTATTATCTAATTAAAGTAAAAAAATGCAAACAATTCTCGTTAAACTTTATTATTAATCGAAAACATTTTTCTGTTTTTCTTAAGAATAGTGCCCAAAATATATTCTATTCAAGGCTTTTTTTAATCAAAAGGTGTCTTAGTTTTATTCCATAATGTTTTTACGATTCAGGGCAGATTTTCTGTAATTGGGGTCCTGTTTGATCAAAGATTTGATGATATAAATCCTCCGACGATTAATCTTCCTAACAAATATAAATATTTTGAGATAAGTAAAATTCCCGAAATTTAATTAAAATTGAATTAGATTAGGTAACGGATTATAAAGATTTTCTAAAAAAAATAAATGTTTCAAAAATCTTTTATTCATTTCTGAATAAACATTGAAAGTTTCATTAATGTTTGAAACTTCTCTGATTTTGAAATAATTTATCTTCTTTCTTAGCGAAATCTAGAAAAAAGGCTTGTGTTTTTTTTTTTCAAAAGGAAGTGAAAAACGTCACACTTTATTATTTAAAATATACCAAAAGTCAGGAAAAAGCAATAAATTCAATTACCCGATTTAAATGAGATCTTCGGAGCTTATTCAGTTATAAATGAAATATATGCTGGATAGATTATTTTATTAGAAATCTTAATGGAAATGTATTTTGTTCAATCAATCCCATTTCGATACATCATTCGGTACTTGCATAATTTGATAAAACAAATTTAGTTTTTGATTTGTCAGGGAAGAATCTACAATGAATATACAGTGCTGTGCAAAAGTAAGTAAACCCTAAGATAATATTTTAAATCTTAATTAAACTATATATTCATTAAGAAAAAACTTATTAAATGAATTACAACCACTTTCAAAAAATTTTATCTAGCTGAAATAAAAATATTAAAGATTAAAAATTAAGACGTCCAAAACTAAGTGAACACTTACATTTAAACTTTGTATTTTTGTTTTACATGGTTGCCATTGTAAATAATTTTTGTGCATCAAAATTAAACGTATTCATTTTTTGTTAAGCTGTGTATACTGCAATCAAATAAAGAAATATAACTCATTTTGTATGCAAAAAGCGTGCTGTTTGAGAGTAAATTTTAAAAAAAATAATATATATATATATATATATATATATATATATATATATATATATATATTAAAAAGATCAAAAAAGAACTTCGAGAAGCTTTACAAAATCACATAGTTGAAACCTATAATGAAAGAGAAGGCTACAACAAGCTATTAAAACGATTTGGAGTGCACTTCTCCATCGTGTTAAAAATTATTTATAAATGGTAGGACGTTGGTATGATGGCATCACAGTCACGAAATGGCCGTTCGCAAAAAATTACAGCAAGAGCAAGCAGACATCTAGTTTGTCAAGCCGAGGCAAATTCTGTCACGATTTTCGAGGTTCCACAATGCACACTGGCCAATGTTGGAATCAATGTGCATACTTCAGTCTAATGTTATCTGAACAATTCTGATTCTCATGACAGAATGCCTTGACAAAGCCACTGCTTACGAAATAGCAGAAGCATTCTCGCTTTAACCATCCCAAAGCTCATATTAATAAGCTAGAAACATTCTGGCAAAAAAGAAATTTCTGATGAGACCAAAGTAGAGATTTTTGGGAGGACAAATATCTGGTATATCTGGCGAGCTCCTAAGACAGCTTTTGAAGAGAAGAATTTGATACCAATCATTAAACATAGCGGTGACAGAATTATGATTTGGGGGTGCTTTGCTGCATCTGAAACAGGCAAAATAGTACGCATTGACGGCATAATGGACCCTGCAAAATATCAAAGAAATTTTAGAACAAAATTTTAGTTCAAAAGTCGGTAGTAGGTCTTCGAACAGGACAATGATCCAAAGCATGAAATCATCTCCACAAAATTATGGATTCGTAAATAGAAATTCCAAGATTAGAACGGCCTAGTCAAAGTCCTGAAGGAAGGCAGTGCATGCAAGAAACCGTGATAAAATCAAGCACTTGCAGAAGATTTGCCCAGAAGAATGATCAAAAATCGGCGATCACTACCGTGATAAAGTTCTTAAGCATGGTAAAAAATATTGGTTGATATTGTAAGCTCAAAAGGAGGAGCCAACAAATATTAAATGTAAGGGTACTCTTACTTTTGCACATCTTAATTTTTAATTAATATTTTTATTCTTGCTTGACAACATTTTTTGACAGTGATTGTAACTGATTTACTAAAGGTTTTTCTTAATAGTTTAATTAAGAGTTTTGATCATTTGGAAAAAAATAGTTTTTAAAATATTACATAAAGGGTTTGCTTACTTTTGTAGTTACAACTTCAGTATATTAAATAAAAAAAATACTTGTAATATTTAAATGCAATTTTAAAATTATTTTAGTTGCTGATGAAACAAGAAATTTTTTAATGACAAAGACGTGTTTAAAAAATAAAAAAAATATAACGTTTGATACCAGTTTTGCATTATTTGTTTTAATTTAATTTTATTTATTATTTTCACAACTGTTAGATTAATTTTAGTACAGAAGATTATCAGTTTGAATTGAGAAATCAGAGAACCGTTTTCGAATTCAAGTCGAGTTCATTATATTCACTTATTGGGAAAGGTGTTGAGCCATCTCTTCACAAAGACAGACTGGGTTCTATAACCTTGTGCAGCAACTTCCGTGCATTGAATTTTAATGTCGTATCTGGTCTGGAGCTTCTACTATATATCTCGAGATTCTTGACAAAATTCAAAGAAGGGTCTGTTATATAATCAATCCTGACCTGGCATCTCAACTTCAGTCACATTCTCAACGATTTGACATGGCTTCCCTCTGTCTTTTCTACAAATATTTTTACGGCAATTGTTCTGGTGAGTTTTATTCCTTAGTGCCTCGACTGCATGAATTTAAGCGTACTATGTTCGTCTTATTGTATCCTGTTTCTTTATTTTTTTTCTTTTCCTCGCTTATCCTCACTAAAGACTTCTCATTATCTTTCACTCTTTGTAACCCATTGCATCCTAGTTGCCTTGTCATGTCGCGAGTATGATGAACAAAGTTATCTACCTATCTATCTATCTCATTGTGTTCATATCTATCTATCTATCTATCTATCTATCTATCTCATTGTGTTCATATCTATCTATCTCTCTATCTATCTATCTATCTCATTTTGTTCACATCTATCTATCTATCTATCTATCTATCTATCTATCTATCTATCTATCTATCTATCTCATTGTGTTCATATCTATCTATCTCATTTTGTTTATATCTATCTAACTATTTCATTGTGTTCATATTTATCTCATTTTGTTCATATCTATCTATCTATCTATCTATCTATCTATCTATCTCATTGTGTTCATATCTATCTATCTATCTATCGATCGCATTTTGTTCACATCTATCTATCTATCTATCTATCTATCTATCTATCTATCTATCTCATTGTGTTCATATCTATCTATCTCATTTTGTTTCTATCTATCGAACTATCTATCTCATTGTGTTCATATTTATCTCATTTTGTTCATATCTATCTATCTATCTATCTATCTATCTATCTATCTATCTATCTCATTGTGTTCATACCTATCTATCTATCGATCGCATTTTGTTCACATCTATCTATCTATCTATCTATCTATCTCATTGTGTTCATACCTATCTATCTATCTATCTACCCATCTCATTGTGTTCATATCTATCTATCTATCTATCTATCTATCTATCTATCTATCTATCTATCTATCTATCTATCTATCTCATTGTGTTCATATCTATCTATCTATCTTGTTTTGTTCTATCTATCTATCTATCTATCTATCTATTGTGTTCATCTATTATCTCATTTTGTTCATATTTATCTATTTATCTATCTATCTATCTATCTATCTATCTCATTGTATTCATATTTATCTATCTCATTGTTCATATTTATCTATTTTATTCTATCTATCTATCTATCTATCTATCTATCTATCTATCTATCTTAATACGTTTATTTATGTTTGTTTGTCTGTATTTATCTATTTGTATTTTTATGAATGCAAAACCATTAGATCTGACCAAGTACAATTACTTGCTTCTATAAAACGTAAATTCTTTTTATATATTCTAAGTCTAGTTCAACACATCATTTCTCAAGATTTCTTAAAAATTTAAAAAATTTAACCAGGTGCAGAACAAATGTGAACTCCATTGGGTAATCAGCCTAATAAACAATATAACAAAACTTACCACCAGAATTTTGATGTCAAGTGTGCGCAGCAGAATCAGACCGAAAGTAGGACAAGGACAGTGCGGTTTCTTTAAAGACACTGCAACAAGGAATGCAATATTTAGGCTCAGAAAGATGTCAGAAAAAGCAATACAAATACTGAAGGAGGTGTACCCGTGTCTTACAGAGCATGCAAAAGCGCTTGATAAAATTCATAACAAAGAACTGTTCGTACTGCGAGCTATTTGGGAATTATATTCGAATAAACTAGAACTATACTGGCAGCAAATCATCTGCATAAGGATAGGAAATTAACTCAGTTAATATACTAAATAGAACGGAGTTTAAGATAAGCATGTGTCTTTGCACCGGACTCATTCAGCCTATATAGTAAGGTGATTCTTAGAGAATTAGAAGTCCTACCAGAATTCATTATTGTGGACGCTATAATAACAACATAAGATATAAAGTTAACACAGTCTTGATAGCAGACATAGAAAGAAGACTGCAAGATCTCCTACAGAAGCAAAAGATTAAACATCAATTGAAATAAGACAGGATGCGTGGTTGTTAGCGAAAGGAACAACCAATTTATAAAATATGCATACCAGAATCAAACAAGTAGAATAATTTGAATATTTTGAAAGTGTTTTAACAGAGGACAGAACCTGCGACACTGAAATCCGAAGGCACATTGGGAAAGTGAAAGATGCCTTTCAAAATCAAAGCAAAATATTAAGAAGCAGGAAAATCTCGTTAAAAACAAGGAAAAGTACTTAAATGTTATGTAACATAAGTCCTCCTATATGACAATGAATGCTGGACAATCTCCACAGACGAAGGAGAGACTTGAAGCAGTGAAAATGGGGTTCTACAGAAGGATACTGAGAATACCATGGACCGAACATGTGAGCAACGACGAAGTTTTAAAGAAGGTGGAATTAAAATTGAAACTTATACTTAACTTCAGGACGAAACCGTTGACATTTCCAGGGCACATAATGAGGAAAGTGAGTTGGGAAAATTTGATACACACAGGGCAGATTGAATGCAATACGGACAGAAGAAAACAACGCATAGCCTGCCTAGTAATCTTGAGTGAATGGATAGCGGAGCCGGTTTTGAAAGATATATATACATATAAAAAACCCAGCATTTATTAAGAGCTACGAAAGATAGGAAATTGTGGAGCGGCATGATCGCCAACGTCCTGAAGTGGCATGGCACAGAGGAGAAGAAAAATGTTTTGTCCATTGATTTATTACTCCGCTCTTAGAATTTCCGAATCCTTTGAAAAGTTCATGTTTTTTAGCTTCTTTTGTTTATCCTGTCTTATAGGGAGGTAACGATATTTTCAAAATCAAGCAAGCACAAAAATTTAAATATCTGGTAAACAGATGACTAAAAATGTGCCATTAGTATCCGAAGGCACATAGTAATGGCGGAAGATCCATCTAAATTTAAGCAAAGTACAGGGAGTCCCAAAAAATTTGACATCATTTTAAAAGCAATTATCTTGAAAACTACTATGTTTAGCTCAATGAAATTGAACAGTTTAGGTGTTGAACATAAAAAGTTTATTATGGGACCGATTTCATTAGTGTTCATTATGTGCAGCGCCTGTGACACGGCACATGTTAAGCTTTTGGCAAACACGTTGATGTTGATGATAGCCTACCAGATCCTTTAGACCTCCATAAGCAGCCTTCCTCCTTAAATGTTTGATACCAAGTCCAAATTTGTTTGCCAGTTGGTGAAGTTTTTTTCCAAATTTTGCATTGAAGGCACGCTGCACAGACTTGGGTGCCTGTGTGCGAGCATATTTCAAGACGCAAAATTATTTCTCTTTTTGTGTGAAAGGCATGGCTCAACCTGAAAACAGAACCAAAAAATAATACATTAAATATAAAATCTTGATCTGTTTCTATACATTCTGTGAAAATTTGAGGTTATTTTAACAAGAATTGACAAAATTATTTACCCGCGAAATTATGTCAGATTTTTTGGGACACCCTGTATGAAGAAACAGGTAAAATCTGTTAGGAACAAAGAAAAGAGATTTGAATCTCTTGTCTGATCTTTTAACTTTTGACGTCCCCATATTGTTTGTTCCACAAAATTAAGAATTAAAATAACCATTTTTTTTCTGATTTCATATACATTTTGTAGTCGTACTCTATTGCAGACACAGACATATATTTATAAGTATGTGCCTGTGTATGGATATATGTCATAATAATAATAATAATAATAATAATCCAGAAAAAAATTATCATCATGTATCAGGTTGCACGATACTGGCACCCACTAAGTATAAAACCCGGCATGACAGAGTGAGCCAATATCTGCACTGGAAAATCTGCAACTTCTACGGGAAGGAAACTGAAAGAAACTGGTATGAACACCACCCAGACCCGGTTACGAGATAGGACCTGTTACAATTCTATGGGATTACACAATACACACTGACAGGACAATCAAAGCCAACCGCCCAGATATTGTTATTAAAGACCACAAACAAAAACGGTGCCTCCTTATTGATATGGCACTCCCTGCTGACTGCAATGTATCTTTGAAGATATTCAAAAAGCTGTCAAAATACAAGGACCTTGAAATAGAAATCGGGAAAATGTGGCATATGGGAACATCAACAATCCCTGTTGTAGTTGGAGCCCTAGGATTGGTTGGGAGAGATTCCAGTAGACTCATTGAAGGGATTCCTGGAAGTCCATGCCTCAAAGCGATACAAAAAATTGTTCTCACAGATACAGCCCACACTTTACGAAGGGTTTTATCTATGTAAATTTTTTTTGTCAGTGGAAAGTGTCATGATGCCATTTCTAATCTAAAGTCCCTGGGCGGGAACCGGAAAACATATGTAAACGCCAGAAAGGAAGTAAAAATAATAATAATAATAAAATTCAACAATTACTTTTACTCACTTTCGTTTATTAAACATTACGTCACTTATTATCCTCTATATTTTACTTTGATCTTCAGTAAATTTTTATATTTATCGTTATTTTCTAAGTGAAGGTTAAATGGTGCACAAGAACGAATGTATGAGGCACCCAGTGAGGATCGAACTCACTGTTCATTCATATCTGCTTTAGCGAGACAAGCTTACTAACCATTACATTTATGAGTGTTCTTAAATTTAAAAATTCAGGAAAACTAAAGACATTTTAATTAATGGTGATTTTCTAAGCGTAGTTTAAATGGGTCACAAGGTCGAAAGTATGGAGCACCCAGTGAGGATAGAACTCACTAATCAGTTGTAATTGTTCTAGCGAAACAAGCTTGCCCAACATTACACCACGCCGAGGTGCCCATAAATAAATTTCTAAGCCTAGCTTAGATGGGTCACAAGGCCGAAGGTAAGTAAGGTCAAACTCAGTATACATTCATACCTGATTTAGCGAGACAAGCTTACTAACCATTACATTTATGAGTTCTTGAATTTAAAAATCCAGAAAAACTAACGACATTTTAGCTTATGTTACAAAATAAAATCTTTGCATTTGCCTTGATAAATTACATCAGGTTACGTAGATTGTAACGCGTCAGCTCAGATAAGTTTTTCTTTAGTCTTTATTCATAATAATAACGATTTGACCAGTATATTATTGGCGCTTAACGCTTTCCTGACAAGCAAATTTTGTAAATAAAATTCTCGATATTGAGAAATATGGAATTAATGAAAAGTTCAATGATTTTCCAGAAAATAAATCAACGCTTTAGGGGAATTAAAAATCAATTTAATGATAATTCAAAACGAACTGATTTATCTTGGTCTTGGATTGCATATTAACATTGTAAAACGCGGAGTCAGTCGATTGATATTTGAACTTATTATTTGCTTATTTATTACACAGACACACACACAACTTGTGATGAGTAAAATATTACGAAGTTGTTTTTGAAAGATAAGGTTTTATTTTCTTTTTCGTATTTGAGTTCAATTATAAGCCCGAATTTGATTGGTTTATTTATTGTATTTTAGTTTTGTGACTTACTAATATATCCACACATAAAGAAGTTAAACAATATCAGACCAAGGTATTTTTGGTGTGGGGGTAATTGTTAGTAAGCTTGTCATAGTTTGTATTAGTTGTGTGTTTGATCTTAACCGAGTTGCTGTATTTGCCGGAAAATATTTTGACGTGCCTCTTACTATTTTTGGTTTATTATTAACACCTTGAAGACCTAATTTATTTCTAAATTCTACCTAATTTAAGGCGGTTGAAATTTACTTGTAATTTATGAGCTATTTAAACAACTTAGCCTTTCTAGAGCAGGTATATTCTGGAAGTAGTATGCTTAGGTCCTATTTTGAATGTTCTCTTATGTTTTGAAATAAGTTTTTTGATCGATCCAAACGTTTTCAGTAATTTGACCTCATTATACAGATGTCTGAAGCTTTGTTCTCTATTCCCTGTCGAAATATAGTGAGAATTTTCAACTTCAGAACAGCGAATCTAATATTATACTATGACAGTTCCACAATATCTGACCAAATTTCCATTATATAAAAAGTAGAATTGGTCACTTATTGTGGAATGTAATGTGTAGCATTATTATTATTATTATTATTATTGTTGTTGTTGTTTCGGTGTTATGTTTCGTGCTTTGTATCCTATAAAATCGGGTCCAAAATATGGTTCTAATGGCCCTATAGGAGAATTTAATTGATAGCAATTTTCTTAGTATATGGGATGTTCCTAGTAGGGTGATCTTCTGGGTAACTTGCATGTAGATGTTACCTGGAACACTGTT